CATATTCTGGCTAGAAAAGCACTGCTTAATTTGACGCATCTCATGCTTGCACCTTTACAGGTACAAGAGTATGTTGAAGCCGCAACACTCTGTAATTTCTGCAAAACTGGGACTCTTCTGAATCTTGATGAGATCAATGCTGCCTTGTTATCGCTGAGCGATCAGTCTGTCGAGCCTCTGCAGATCAATGTCCTCGACTATCTCTTGGGGGTAACCGTCTTATATTAAAGTATTTTTTGCAGCCAAAAAAATAATGTTATTAAGAATCAAAGATTCGGTACATGAAGGACGAGATCAAATTATTTATGTGTATTTACCTATTTTTTTCTACAAAAAATGGGAGGCAACTGTTGGTAACCTTATGAATTAATAAAATTAATGTCTCAGCAGTATGATTTTCCATTAAAGGTAGACTCCTCTGTAGGACAACAACAATCAAATTAACACAACATTTTACTTCACCTAGTTTTTATACTAATAGACAAAATGACCATTCATTGGAAAATATCATGCACACACATGCAAGCAGCCATATGAATGGTTCTTTTATCTGTCTCTATTATGGAACTGATGTCAAGTGTTCTTGTTCAGCTTGCCGACTTGACAGGAGAGCTGATGAGGTTGGCCATTGGTCGAATATCAGATGGTGAACTTGAATTTGCTGAAACGATCTGCAGGTTTGTGCGTGATATCCACAGAGAGCTTATCCTTCTTGCCCCAAAGATGGATGACAGTGCAGACATGAAAGCAAAGATGGACACGATGCTCCAAAGTGTAATGAAGATAGAAAATGGTATGCTGTCAATAGTTTTCCTGTTCACATGTTGCAAACTGGACCTGGTGTTTCGCATAACCATGCCCTTAATTCTAGAAGCAACTACCTAAAATACTGTAAATTATAGAGAAACAGTTTGGGACAACTACTCTAGTTTCTGATTATTTGTACTTTCAAGTTTGAGTGTCATACCTTGCTGGTCCCAAATAGTTAGGTTGAAACTTCTTAAGGGTTTTTATATGGCTGAAAATTCTCCAAACCGATTCAGGTAAATGGGGTTCAGCCATTTTTTGGAAACTATGGCAAGATGCTTTTTTGAAGATTTTTTTTTTTTGAATTAGGAATGCAGAAGTGGTCCTGCAATTATAATTCTTTGGAATATATGGTGATTTTATACTTTAGATTTGCGTGCAGAGAGATTGTAATATGAATATGTCTTGGACGATACTTTTGTATTTCGCTTAATATGGGTTCCTTTTTTGCATAATTCTGCAGCTTGCTGTAGTGTTCATGTGAGAGGATCAGAGTACATTCCACTTCTTGGATCGGCTGATTCAAGTTATTCCTTATTGGGGATGCCTGACCTTGAATGATGAAGTATCTTCTACATTTCCTGGAAGTTTATTGTCTTCTGTATTGTAATGATGTCGTCCTTATATATACCTTTTCTGCTGCAGTTCACATCTGGAGACAAATTACAGGAAGAAGTTTGCTTGATTAGTCAATCAGAAAACTCTGATCCCTTTGACCATTTGATTCTCCTAAAGTCCCTTCAGGTTCTTCTGTTTCTCTTCTTGCAAGTCAGGCCCTCATGACCCACCAAGCAGGCGAGATACAATGTATAGTTCTTGAAAGGAAAACTTGTGTATGTTTCTGCTATTTGGGAACTGTCAATCTGGAAGCAAATGGTTTGTCACTTATATGGGAAGTAATGAAATTTTAACAGGAAAGTCTGTTGGGCTGTAATAGTGTGGCATCTGGGCATGAGAATGAATCTATACGGCTATTTTTGAGGTAAAGCTCTCAAAGGTTCTCATTTGGGACAGTGATTGGGGCATCAGTTTGTTCCCATGATTATTGTGCGGGAATTTCAATTTTTGATATTTCAAGTTGACAAAATGTTGACTTGTTTGTTGACTTCTCATCTTGTCTTATAAACACAGGAATTTATAGAACTTGTGCAGGTTTTCAATGCTTGTTTGATAATGAGTAAGCTTTGATCCTGGACTTAAATGAAAGCATACATCTTGCTGTTTGAGTTCAATCCTTCTTAGTTTTCCATTGCTCAAGAGTTTGGAAGCCCTTCTAAATTCATGTGCTCAGTTTGTGACATGGACCATGAGTGTTGGAGCTCTTCTCCAAGTTGGTTTTGTTTCACTTTCTGGTGCGCCAAAAGATTTGGGAATTGAGAGGAAAACATAATCTGATAATCCTACCCGAAACGAGAGCAGGAAAATAGGATCTCTCTCTGGGCCCTCTTTGATTTATCTGGCCAAGAAATTTCTGAACCACATATTTTGGGACCTGTGTTTGCTATAAAAAATGCGCACAATCACTAACAAAATAACTCAAATGGATCAACTAAGGCGTCTATGGACGCAATTATTACAAAGACTGTTCTTACTTTGCCACAATCTGTCCATTAGATTAGTTTCTCAATTATTGCTTTGTTTGATAATACAACTTTTTAATGTGAAGCCCTCCATCATTATTTTGATTGCTTGACAGCATCTTTGCTTGGCTGACTTTTCCAAAAGGTTTTACAGTTATACTTCACTACACTGACTAAATTTTGTGACCAAATTAAGAGTCTAAATGATATGACAACATGTGTAAATTCCTTAAGGAACCTCTATTTGGTTAGTAGTGTTCTAAATGATTGGAAAGCCACTGTGCAGTTGGTCTATAGGAACTGCCAAGGAGCTCTTTACTGAGAAATAATGTTGTAAAGCCTCTATTGGGTTAATAGTGTGTTCTAAAGAGAGAAAGAAACTCTTAGATAGAAGATTCAGCAATTTAGTGGGAGGTTTTGTAATTACAGGAAGAAAAAGGAGGTCTGTGGATGGTCCAGCCAACTTACAGCTCAAATTATCTATCCGAAGAAAGGAGCATCTCCATTATAAAGCCTCTGTTCGATTATAGGAACTGCCAAGTAGCTCTTTACCACACTCTGGACTCATCCCTGTTGGGAGAGAGAGAGTGAAGGGTGGTCCTTCTTTACTTGTCTTGTGTCATTGTTTTGCAGTACATACAGAATGTAAAGTGTTTTTGCAATTACTTTTACAGGACCATGTCCTCTTCATGGTCCCTGAAAAAGATTTGACATTATTAGTGCTTCAATTAGAGAATCTTGGCACCGACTTTGTTTATTGTTTTGCTAAGGTAAGCACTTAACATATGTTTAATGTGCCCTGTGCATGGAGGTAAAGGTTGAATTTCTGTGACCTCTTTTATATATTTAATTTAATTTTTAATATTACCTATAATTTAGTTTTTCTTGGGGTTGATGGGAAGGTTAGACTATATACCCTATATCAGCTATTGTCATGAGAGGCAAGGTAGAACTCTAAACTTGTAACCACCATGCCAACATCTGAACGTCCTCTCCCTCCTCCCAAGTACTTGGAAGAAGATGATCTGACCCAAGAATGCAGGGACTTACTGCCCTTGCTACCTAGAGAAAGGGGGTGGGTTCATAGGCATCTCTATCAATACCAAGGTTTTTGGCACACATCTAGGCAGTTGCAAGGTGTACTTGCATGTCAACGACACTTTGAAGCTCAAGATACTGATATCCTCCTTGTAACAACTCCGAAGTCGGGCACAACTTGGTTGAAGGCAATAATGTTCTCTTTGATGAACAGGACGTGTTACCCCGACACCCAACAACACCCTTTGCTGAATGACAGTCCTCATAATCTGGTGCCATTCTTGGAAATCAATCTCTATGCTGAAAAAGATGTCCCTGATTTGACCTCCTTTGCCCCTCCAAGGCTCTTTTCCACTCATTTACCATTTGTATCTCTGCCCAAATCAGTGCAGGATTCAGCATGCAAGCTTGTCTATCTGTGTAGGGACCCAAGGGACATTTTTGTGTCTTTTTGGCACTTCACAAACAAATTAAGACCCCTGAACCAGGGAAACAATCATCTAGAAGAGATGTTTGACTTGTTTTGTACAGGGGTGAGTTTATCTGGACCCTTTTGGGATCATGCAGTGGGGTATTGGAAAGAAAGCTTGAAAAATCCTCGTAGGGTATTTTTTTTGAAGTATGAGGAGATGAAAGAACAACCTGCCTATCATTTGAAGAGAATAGCTCAGTTCTTGGGCTGCCCACTTTCAACAGAAGAAGAGGCAGAAGGGGTAGTGAATGAAATCCTTAAATTGTGCACCTTTGACAATTTGAGCAATCTGGAAGTGAATATGAATGGAAAATTAGCATCTGGTGAGGCTAATAGCGCGTTCTTCAGGCGAGGTGAGGTCGGAGACTGGAAGAATTATCTGACTGGTGAGATGGTAGAGCGCTTTGATAAAATCAGCAAACAAAAGTTCTCAGACTCTGGATTAGTATTATAGGCCTTGCAAATGAAAATGATGTTAGTATTATTTTATATCTTGTTGCGTGCATGAAGTTCTTGTTGTCAAAGGTTTTATTATGTGCATAAATCTCCCATCTATAGCAGGGTCAAGGGGCAATAAGTGGTAACACCCTCACCCTCACCCTCACCCTATTTTAGGCAAATTCTCGGACTCGAATTATTGGATAGATGAGCACTTGTGATCGCTCAAAGTCCGCGTCTGGGATGAAGTTCTTATGTCTGTGCCTTGTTCTATGTTGTAAGAATAAGTCATTGAGTACTGGAAATGGATGTTTCAATCAATTCTCTTGTTGAGTGACCCCTTTTCTTAAATTTCATTATCAGTCAATTATTTGTACAATATATACATTGGCCAACAAAGACATAGATTTTGTCACATAAGCATACTATAATTTATGAAATTGACAAAATTATCATTATAAAAACCATCAAACCAACTATGTGGCTTCCCACTAAAAATTCAGCAGCCTTATGCATTTTTTTTAAACATAAGAGCCTATTTAGGTTTCCTTTTAGGTCAGCATCTGGGAGGTGGACAACGTGGTTGAACTCACGATCTTTATGGTCCAACAATGGAGGTGACGATTATTAGGCAAACCGTTGACCTCGACCCCATGGTGGTTAAGTGTTTCCCAAACTCATTCATTTTAGCTAGTGAAAATAGTTTGGACTCATTAGAATTTCAAATTTTTTTGTAGATGTCTTATATTCTATTTTGATTCTTAGTTCCGATGTCTTATATTTTGTTTCGCAGGAAATACTTTTGGGATATTTTTTTTTTAAATGTTGGAATTCTCAATCAAATGGGAAAAAATAAATCTATACATTAATGTGCATTGATAATGATATATTTGGATTTACAAATTCATTTGAATTCAAAAGGAAAGGTAGGTCTGATTGGTTAGGAAGAAAAAAATGATAAGAAGTGAAGTGAAAGAAAGAGGAAAAACATATAATTTAATATATGCATTTAGTTAGCATGAAAATTTTTTAAGAAAATTTTTATAAAAAATTGCATTCTATTGGTTGAAAGAAAGAAAAGTTACAAGAAGACACATGTAAGTGTGGATTATGGTTAGTTGCAAATTACATCCTGAAAGATCTATCGAATCTCAATTTATATCTTCAAAGATCAAATATTTGTATTAATGTGCACTTAAAGCTAACAGGCATCCAGTTTGCTGTCTAAAACTAAATTGGTCAATTATACTTAGACTCTTTCATATTTATCACTTAATCACCTGAACTCCCTCACATTTAAGATATTACACTACATTCCTTGAGAATCCAAATATGGCTAAAAGTGTTATCCCAATTAGGAATTCAAATAATTTGTTCAAGTGACGTATTGCATTGAATATAAAAAATATTATATAATACTAGTACACTTGAACATTATATAATATCTGTATTGTATTGGACATTCAAAAAGTAAGCTTAATTTTAAATTTTAGAGTATAACGGACTCATAATAAAAGATAATATAAAACTTATATTTGTTTATTAGGATAACATAATGTTTTTTAACAGTTACATTAACATATATTGACTATATGGGGTTATATGTTACACGCTCACAAACGTCCTGGGGCATAAGTGTAATATTTTAAATATGAGGGGTCTAGTGATTAAGTGATAAATTTGAAGGGGTCTAAGTATAATTTATACTGACGGCTGTTACTTTTAAGTGCACATTGATACAAATTTATATCTTTTTGAGGGTGCAAATTGAGATTTTTGATTTTTGAGGGTGAAAATTAAGATTCAAAAATTTTTTTGGGATACAATTTGCGATTAAACCTGTGGATTAATAAAGTTGTTTGACGTTAAAGGGTGTGTTGATTGAATTGTTTAACATTGAGGGCCGTACAAAAAAAAAATATTTTTGAGTGGATTTTTTTTTTTTTGAAATGAATTTTGTATCACTAGATCAAAATATATATGAATTAATCTGAACTGTCGTTGTACTTTTATAAGATGAGAATTTAACTTCTTAGAACATCTACTATGACTCAAATTTTTACTTAAATTTAAATTAACATTTAAGTAAAAAATTGATTTAATATAAAAAACTCTAATAGACAAACTCAAATTTAAAGAAGAATAAACCTAAATTTAAATGAGGACAAACTCAAATTTAAAGAAGAATAAACCCAAATTTAAATGAGGACAAACTCAAATTGAAAAGGGAGTAAGGATAACCATTAGATCTTTAAAAGATGGTGAAATCACACCATTAAAGATTTGAGTAAAAAAATAAAATTTTTTTGATTCAATATAAATTTGAGTCAAGGGAGCCAATTTTTAAAATTTTTTTACTCAACCGACTTAGCTCAGACAACCGACTTAGCTCCCTTGTCATTATGAGTTGTTGCATTGTTTTCATTGCCATGGAAAACTAGTCTAGTAGCAATGAGAATTGTTCATTGTCAAGGAGCAGCATTAGGCTCAATTATGCAAATTGCTAAATATATAATCGCTACATATGTGTCTTGTATTTCGTTTTGATTCGTACCCAATCTGACCCAAAATCTTTTAGACTTTAATTCGATCGATGGAAAATGCTCCTTCGAGAAATATAAAAAGAGCCAACCAAAAAAAAGTTCATTATATGAAATTTTTTCATTGGTATTCTCTCTTAAGAAATACATTACTTGATGATTTAAAAGTTAATTTATTTAATTAAATATAGACTTAGTATCTATTATTTAACCCTAATCAATCAAAATATTTTAGACAAATTAACCAATTTTTACCATAAATAGTTTAGAAATATTAAATATACAAAAGTCTAGTAAATCAAAATTAGATAGAGGAATAACTTCCAATGCGCAAAGACATTTATTTTTTCATCAATGCGAGGCTCATTGCGAATGATATCCCATATATTTTAATTTAATGCAGAAACATCGAATCCTCATAATTTAGTTCAAATTCAAATGATTAAAGATTTTATTTCTATCATTAGGAAAATATTAAGAGGGTAAGAAGATAAAAAATAAAAAAAATCCTAATTACTGCCCCATAATAAAATGATAAAAGTTACTTTTTATTATTTTTTTTAAAATTTAAATGAACCATAAGAGTTTTTTGCAAATAGGTGACTACCCTTAAGTTTATTAGTGGGGTGATTTTTATAGTATTCTAAAATTTTAAAAATTTCAAACTACTCTCTAAAAAATTGCTATTACCCCCACTGTAAATCCGTCCCTGGGTAACCTATTTCTAGAGCCATTTAACAAACTATTTTTATTTTAAAAATCTAATACAAAACAGAAATTAGAATATACTACCCCTGGGAAACAAGCGTGCGTGTTTGGTTGGGCGTTGCAAATGTCACAAATTCCATGGCAGAGTGTTCATGTGCATCAACTTTCTTGCTTTCGTTTCACAAATTGTTGTAATATTAATCATTGAGAGTGAACCTTTGTTTCAACGTTTTACCCGTGGTAGAGATAGTGTTTAATTTCAAACCACGTGATCTTGTATGTTGTTTTATTTTTTGGTTCATTTCATTATTTGTTTGTGAATAATAATAAATTAACATAAACAAATATGTTATTCTCACTATTTCTTTTCCATAATTGCAATTGTGCAAGGGGTGGGTGCTATTAGATTGTAACTAACAAAAAGACCTATTCATCGTCCTCATTTTATGTTGTTTGAATAAATATGGAAAAAGATATACATAATTTCAGCCTATATACAATCGAATTTGAAAGATTCAAGTGGTATATAACTTTATTCTCATTTTGAAGAGACCGATGGCTTCAAATCTTCAGCCAATAACAACATCTAATTTTGAAGAGGCCGATGAGTTCGAATATGTGATGATGACTTCTGTCGATAACAGCAACCGGGAGAGATTAGCATTACCCCTATTTGGCTTGAATTCCAAATGTATTACTTTGTCAAGTAAATATTAGTGTAACGATTACATCATGTTAGCATTATTAAATGGTATAACCACTCAAAATTCAATAATTAATCAAACTTGACTTCACTCCTTCAAATAACCACCCTTCAATATAAGATAAGTAACCGCCGCCACACATTCAAAAGTGGTGTAAATATTAAGTGTTGTAGTTACACCATGGTGTAACCATTCAATGAGAAAAAAACTAAATGGACGAACTGTACCTCGCATTTTTAACATGGGGTAGTTATTACACGCGTGAATAGTTATTTAATTGTGTGAGATTCATTTATCCACATGTTATCTTATTAGGGGACAGTTACATCATATTATCGTGATAACATGGTGTAACTGTAATATCCAATATTTTCTCCAAAATAGCGAAGTTCAATTTCTCACTTGCTTTTTATTATTGGGGGACAGTTACACTATGTGACAACACTGACGTAGTGTAACTGTTACACCCAATATTTATTGCACTTTGTCACTCCAAACCGATCCTTTTGAATAAACAATAGTGTGTTGTTTGTCACACCCCCACCCCAGATCACATAAAGTCGGTGACGGACCTGCCACCAAGGCCTTAATCAATCAATCCTATGCATAATAAATGAAAAACACAACGAAAGACAAATAATAAAGTGATCATCCACCGACCTAATGAATATCAAAGGAATAAACTAAATATCACCAACATCATTACTAATTCCATGTAAAACAATAATTAAGCTGTAAGGTTTACTACTTCAAACATGAGTAACATTATTCTCATTCCCAAAATAATTAAATATTTATCTCAAAACTACAAAAGACATTTATTCCTAAAAACCTACAATGCAATAAATCTTCAAGTTCTCTAATCCCTTGTATATCCGCAGACTTACTCCTCACCCTGATCCTCTCCTGAAAAATGTTAAATGTTTGGATGAGTACAATGACCCATAAATAGCAACTACCTCTAATGAGGTTTGAAAATAAATCTCATAGGTACATACATAAGTACAACAAATTATACCCCAATCTTTCGCACAAAATCATTTAAACAAAATGATTTCATGATCCCAAATAACTTTATAAATGAGAAGACATTTATAACCAAAAATACTCACTCATTTTCTCAAATAACTTTATAAATGAAAAAAACATTTATAACCCAAAACACTAACACACACATTTAGTTCCAAATACATTTGTTAAATCATGTTTGTTATTACTACCCTGGTAACTGGCTCCGTCTCTTGTCATTACTAGTTTGATGACTGACCCCTATGTGCACATCTCTATACGAATCACATCGGTATAAGATCTCGTTATCATTTAAACCTAGTAACTCAGTCCCCGTTTCATAAAAC